AGCAAAACCTTGTAATAAATTGTTAGTTAAATTTTATGAGCACAACCATCTAATAAATTGTTTGTTAAACTTAATTGTTTTAAATAAAGTTACTCCTAACCATCATAATTAAACAATGATTATAAAAATTTATGCATTTTTATCTCGTTTAATTTGGTTTATATTAAAATAAAATGTTGTAATTAATATAACGACAAAATTACATGTACTTAGTTTGAATAAACTACAAAAAATATGAGTGTCCTGTTCTGATGCTACCCGACGAAAATGGTGGAATTTTATGAACAAAACTATGAAATAAATTGTTAATTAAATTTTATGAGCAAAACCGGGTAATAAATTGTTCCAATTTTAGTATATGTACTGCCGAAGCGAGTACAATAAATTGTTATTACAATTTATTATTATTGTTAGTACAATAATTCATTACATCAAAAAATCGTATTCCGGCGTTTTGATTGATTTTCTACCAAACCATTAAAATTAATTTGTTTAAATAAAAACTAATTAATTTTTAATCACAGTTAATTTGGTTTATATTAAAATAAGTTTGTTGTAATTAATATAACGACAATAATACATGTAGTTTGAATAGAATGTCCGGTTCTTTTGTCTTCAACTGTACTCGATGCGACCCGACGAAAATCTGGACAGAGGGGAACGCAGAGCGTCGGGTAGGTTAGCATGGCATAGCATCGGGTAAGTGTGCTTTAATGTCCCCTCCTGCAGTCTCACGCGCACTCAGCAACATATCAATTTCTACGAGTTATACTGTGGTCCATGGAATTCAGAGGCAGACTTTCATATGAAAATCGAATCAATGCAGGACTGGGAATACACACTTCATCAAGATTTAGAAATATGGTGTCTGAGGTAGTTAAAGGATCCTACAAAAATTCTGCATTATTTTTGTTTGCCATGTTTATCAGGAAAATAATATAATAATAAGCATATCCTATACACAAGTAAGTATATGTACATACGGAATGGAACCTATGACTTCTCGCAGGATGCATCGAGGTTAAGCTGCAGGGACTGCCAACGTCTAGGTCATATCAGCCCCAACGCATCAGTTTCATAAATCTAAATTCAGCCACATTTTTACTCACACTGCAATACATTAATTCCCATTTACATACGATTCACTCAATTAGAGTATTGTAATATGTCGCTATTCCTCCATGTTGCTAAACAAACTGCGGGTCAGTGGGGTACTCAATATTCCGCTCGGCCTACTCAGGCTACATACATTAAAAATTAACTTCAAGTCTAAATATACACAAAATGGTACTCAAAACTAGATATCTGTCAGCAGCACTATAAACATAAAATAGACATATTTGCACAAAATTAGGAAAAGGGGACCCAAATACTCTCTGCCACAATTCTCATACCGGGTGGCATTCAATTAAGTGGGACACAACGAGCAACTTTTCTCGACATGCCGGACAGATAGAACTTTAATCTAAAACAAGTTCGTGAATCAAACTCGCATAGCCTAATCTTAATCTGGTGAGGATGACCCCTCTTATACGATTCAGATCCACCGAGGGCGACCTATCGATAAGGCTCTAGATACGTGAGAGCTTATCAGGCCGATCCGGCCCACTGACACTTTCATTTAATCATGCTTCTTACGGACAATCCTTTCTATCGGTATGGAGGTATCAATCAGTACTGATGATTACATCAGTTTTAGCAAGCAAAGGCTGACCACAAAGTGTGGAAAATGAATTGTTAACAATTGCTAAAAACTTGGGGTGGGTATGAAAAATCATTTGATTCCTGTATCTATTAATTCCAGACTTTTTTGGAAATAACGTATAACTCAGCTATTATAAATATTAAATAATTGTCTTGCTGATACATTATTGATAAAATACGGAATTTAACCAAAAATTCAGAATAAATCTCAGTACCAAAAAAGAATGGGAACGAAATGGAAATAACTCCTCTAAAAATGGCACCATCCTCTGGTACACAGATGGATCTAGAAGACAAGAAGGTACGGGGGCAGGAGTATTTGGACCCAGAACCAAATACTCAGAACCCAAGGGAAAACACACCAGTATCTTCCAAGCTGAGATTCATGCAATCGAAAGATGTACCCAACTCAACCTAAGTAAAGGGTACAAAAACAAGAATATAGCTATCATGTCAGATAGCCAAGCAGCCATCAAAGCGCTAAGCTCAAGCATCATTAGTTCAAGGATGGTGCTGAACTGCAAAACCAAATTAAACATATTAGGTATGCAGAATAAAGTCAGCCTCTGCTGGGTTCCAGGACACATGGGAGTAGAAGGCAATGAGAAAGCGGACACCCTGGCAAGGAAAGGGGCTGCCACACCGTTGATAGGACCTGAACCCTTCTGTGGCATAGGAACCCACACTATTAACGAATATCTCAGACAGAAGGACAAAAAAAAATGAGGGAACAATGGAATTCACTCATTGGACATAGACGATCTAAGAATCTTCTAACCAATTTTGGTAGGAAAGAAATCACAGAATATGTGAAAGGAAGCAGGAACAGACTGCGAATCCTAACAGGATTCCTAACAGGACACTGCAGATTAAATGCACACCAAAAGAAAATTGGAACAATCCAAGATGGCACATGCAGATTCCGCAAAAAGGCAGAACAGACACCAACACATTTACTAACAAACTGCGGAGCTACATTAGCCCGCAGGAGGAAATGTCTTGGGATGTATAATGTGACCATAGAAGAGTTTCAACCACTGAAACCGGGCCGATTAATCAAATTTCTTGATGAAATAGGACTCACCGATGTGCTTTAGGCAGAGAACGGGGGATACAATAGCTCTTAAATGGCGCAGTATACCATACCCTGAAAAAATTACATCCTCATCTACATCTACATCTACTTATTAAATCCACAATATTTCGTGGTTCGATTGGACAAGTAACTTCCTTAAATTAATTAATCTTTCATTTCAACCAATAACTTGCATAAAGGTTAATTAAGTGAAAGAAATTATTTGGGCAACCAAACCACAAATTATAATGGATTTAATGTGTAAAACGAAGTATGTCTTCACTAAAGCTCTCCATGGCCATTTCATTTGTCGCCGAGAATCAAAATAGATTACACGACATTTGAAAAATAGCAAAAAGTAGGGAAAATTCGAAGGGTAGGTTGATGTGGAAAGTTGGTGTCCGAGTGGATCGAAGTCACGATAGCTCAAGTGCAGCGTATTTAGCCGAAGGTCTTGGGTTCGAATCCCGCTCGTGACATTAACTTTTTCATTTCAACCAATACCTTATGTTAGATATTAACAGCCAATCATAGCATAATTTAATTTTAGGCGTTTATTAAAGATAAAATCATTACGCCTGTTGATTACTGTGTAAAAACAAATTAAGTGAAAAAATAAGTTACAATGTGGTGTTTTTAAGTTGATTGATGAAGATAAAGTTCGAGAAAATATTGAAATCGAAACTAAAATCCAATCTAAACATACCTACGTCCCAAACCTGGCCCACTCCGGCTACAATAAATTTCACTCCAAAATATCCTTCATGGCAACCCATTAATTGGCAACCAGTCCGGATCAACCCTTCCTTACAACCCTCATAGCAGACCGAAGTGTAGGTGACCTCGTGACCATCTGATTGCGTAACTTCGGCAACTCTAGTTTTTGCTGTTGACTTCGCGCCATAATGGTCGATTACGGCCACTTTCACTGCATTGTGGCCATTCAAATCAATCGGGCCAGACATGTAAATGTGCATACAATATGTGTATGTGCATATTCTTATAAATACCATGGATTTGATTGTTGAATTTTTTATGTCGTTGAAAAATAAACTTAAAAAAGTTATTTGCTACCCGTTGAAACACTATCGGCCGGAAGAAGAGCAAGGACAAGAAAATATCAGGACAAGGCCAGCTATGTAGATATTTGTGGAAAGATCAAGGGGGTAATTGATTTCTTTTTATCTTTTTTCATTAACGAACGGCGTGCCGCCGTTGACCCTGCGACTTTTCACTCGATTTATTTTCTGTGGCAATCAACCACCACAACTTTCACGTTGATTAATTATTTCAACTATAATGGTAAACAAAAGAATTTTTATAAATAAAATTAAAATATATTTCTCTAAATAAAAAAGTGAAAGGTTGTTAGAACTTAAACAAATTTCCTTTCATTTAAGTAAAGACAATATTATTAAAAATATTTCTCAAATTTAAAGAAAATATATTCGTTGAATTAATACAAATTTGGAGTCCTTATGATATTGACATAAAGTTCGATAAAACAGGTTGTTTCCTTTAGACCAACTTTCCATTCTTTCTTTTTAACGATGACCAATTTTGCATGAAAAGAATATAGAAATAATAAAGTCAATTATATACAAAAAAAGTCATTTAAAAGTAATCAAAAAGAAAATATATTCAAATCATCAAACTTTAATGACAAGTCAATCCAACAAAGTGAAAAAAATCGAAAGCCCATGATTTCCCCTGAGGTTATAGGACATAAAACTTATCCGGCCGCCAGTGACTCGAGTTATGAAACATTTTCTTTGACACATGACAAAATAATTAGAAAGAACAAAGAACTATTAACATTAGATTGCAGGGTGATGAATGTTACCATAATTTTCAGGTTCATATTAGGAAGAATAAGAATATTGAAGGGGTGGTCCAACCTACATTGCACGATTAAAATAAGTAAAAATTTAAGCACTGGAAAAAAATGCAATCAATAAAGAGATTTATATTGCTGGAGCATGTTATAACCGAAATGTTCCATCCACTAAAAAAAAAACTTTATTTACAACTAAATTCACTATTTTTCGTGGTCCGCTTGACCAATTAATATCATTCAATTAATTAAGGTTTTAAGTTGAGATAAACAAGTCAGTGCCACGAGCGGGATTCGAACCCACGACCTTTGGCTAGAGTAGCGGCGTAACAAGGCGAAAGTCGTGGGTTCGAATCCCGCTCGTGACACTGACTTTTTTATGTCAACTTAAAACCTTAATTTATTTACAACATTGACTGGTATAAAGAGACTCATCAGTGAGTCCCCCTCCACGGAAATCTTTAGTAACAGGCGAATGATTTATTCGTTAGGAAGGGAGACCAGAGTATACGCGTTTGGTATATACATAACACAGCATTAATTTCCAATTCTTTTTATATGTTAGCACAATAAATGCTGAAATAGCTAAAAGTTAAAGATTCTATTATTAAAAATAATTTATAATAAACTTTAATAATAAATGTGTGGTGATTAGTGACAGTTAGTCGACAATTATTCAGAAATCGTGAGATGCGGTCTGGTGTGATGTAGGCTTCAGAAAAACATTTTCTTTATTGTGCCAACTTTTCGATCTTTATTGAGATCATCTTCAGGGCCTTGTGTTGTCTGTATCACAACCTACATTACACCAGACCGCATCTCACGATTTCTGAATAATCATCGACTAATGGTCACTAATCACCAAACATTTTCGTTGTAAACGTATATAAACATAAAACAGCAATATCTCACTGGCACTCTCAACACGACACGCAAGAATGGCACAATTACACAGAATATAAACACTTTGAGTGAGTAGAAATACTTTGATTGAATATAAAAAAATAATTATTTGCATTGTATAAATTCACTTTTTTCCACATCCTAAATGTATGAGTTAAATGTAAAAAATGTGTGTAAATCCCAGGCCCTGAAGATTATCTCAATAAAGATCGAAACGTTGGTACGATAAAGAAAATGTTTTTCCGAAACCTACATCACACCAGACCGCATCTCACGATTTCTGAATAATCATCGACTAATGGTCACTAATCACCATATATTTTCGTTGTAAACGTATATAAACATAAAACAGCAAAATCTCACTGGCACTCTCAACACGACACGCAAGAATGGCACAATTACACAGAAAACAAACTTTCAGTAAGTAGAAATACTTTGATTGAATATAAAAAATATTTTTTGCATTGTATAAATTCATTTGTTTCCCATCCTTCATGTATTTGTATAATTTAAACAATGTTTGTAAATCCCAGGCCCTGAAGATGATCTCAATAAAGATCGAAACGTTGGCACGATAAAGAAAATGTTTTTGTGAAACCTGCATCACACCAGAACGCATCTCACGATTTCGGAATAATTTAATAATAAATAAGCCACTTTAACGTAAGAAATAACAGCATACTATTCCATCCCAGCTTTTGTAGTTACAATTAATTGCTAGGTCAATTCAGCATCCAACGCATGCAGTTCCAACCCCATTCATACTCACATTCATATTTAAATACATTCTGTCCTATTAAACATACCTTTCATCCAATTAGGGTGATGGGTACTCAATATTCCAGCATCAGCCCTATACATTCACGCCAATAAATTCACTCTCATCACACGCTAAACAAAAACCATCATTACTATATGAAATAAAACAACAAGTTTTGTTTCCTCCAAGAATCGCAACAGGGACTTAAATACTCGCTGCCGTGCTCAAGCATAATCCTCATATCGGCTGGCATGCCTACGCGCTCTCTCTATGTAGCCAAGGAATTGCACCCTTCAATAGGTGGGACACATCGAACAACCTTTCTCTCCATACCGGACATATACGCGGGCTTTCGTCGAAAGGTATGTGGCCGTGTGTCCTCACTTGGATCCTCCGAGATCCTCCCGTGGATACGTGAGACCCTCTCTGCCGACCCGGCCCTTTGCCGTTGCCACCTTCTTTTAATCATTTTTTTATTGCATTCAGTGGGCCGGATCGTGGTGGTTTACGGAGGTTGGTACGTCCCAAGGACTACTACAGTAGGAATGGTAACTGCCTTGGACGTCCCCGCTTTTGCCGCTTCGTCTGCCCTCCAGACATGTGTCCAGGTACACAGTCGACAACTACCATTTGGCCGTGTGAGAGAGCGCCAAATCGCAAATAATATGATCAATATGCAAAATAGTAAGACAATAATGTAAAGCTACTTGGGGTTTTTCTCTAATTAAATTTTTCCATTGTTCCCGACCTTCTCATCAATATCTTCCAAAAAAATTCAAATTAGTGTAATTTTTTCAGTAAATAATTAATTTTTTAATAAATAAAACAATAATTAGTCGTTCTACACCGGTATTAGTTTTAAAAACGTCTATGGTTCCTACCGAATAGAATATTGAGCAAATATCGTCAATATGAAAATAGAAGAACAATATCGGCTTTAGAATACAGCATTTTTTGTTAACAAATTTTGAATAAGAAGCTTAAGCCTAATTTGTTAGCAGGTGTGGTGGTTGATCAGGTGGATTTAAAGGTGTTCTACCGCATTAAATTTATAAAATTCTGAGAGATCTGCCCTCAAAATTTTGTTTCAAAGGCTTGTCATATTACGTTTTAGTATATTCGAATTTTTAAACTATCGTGTTTATTCGTTTACTCCCATATACATTTAACAAAACGTTATCGTCAGCAATTTAGTTGCTACTGGAATAGGAAAGTCGAAAACTCGGTATAACAAAATTGTTAAAGGTTCATCATGATTACATTTTAAAGGAAAGTTTCAGATAGGACTAAAGAGCAAACTAATTTGCGTATTGAGCATTAATGGCGTTTTATCAGGAATGTTGTCGGTTGATAAGCAATACTGATAAGTGTAAATATATTAAAATAACCTCACATTCACTCCATCCTACACAGATGTATATGCATTATTTCTCGGCTCATTTTTAACAGCTCGTCTGTAAATTTACACTCCGTAGCAGTAAAAATAAATTATTGTTAATTACTTGCAGGCGGTTTGGATGATACAATGGTGCTTTTTTCTACAGAAGTTGCTTGAAAACATTTGGAACCTTTTTACTTTATTTCATAATTTTTCGCTTTTCACTTTTAGTTTGTAGTACTATTGTGATTTATTAACCTTAAAAAAAGATTAAAACCCGTAAGAAACGCATTAAAAATCAAACATTTTATTATTTAGAAAAATAAATAATAAAATTTTAATTATTGTTAATAATATTGAATATCCATTTTTTTAGCGTATTCTTCATTTTTAACGTTTTTATTATCTTCACTTACACAAAAAAAACACAATCAGATTCAAATGGTTGAAAAATCAATTATGTTATAAGCATTATTTTATTCTTTATTTTTGATACACTGTACATAAAAATATTCTCATAAATTAACACATTTTTATAATTTAGTAATTCGACAAGCAAATTTGTTATGAAATTGTTGAAAAGAAAAATAAGCAGTTTCAGAAGTAGTCACATTTATAAAATATGAGAATCAAATTATAGCACGAAAACTTTTAATTAACTCATTAAAATCGTTTTAAAATTTTCTATTCGTGCTGATTTTTTATTCCACTTTCTTGCCATTAACTAATAATGAAATTGTGATTTGTGTTAGTAAGTTTGTTTATTATTCACGATTGCATGTAATATGGAGTTCTAAGTTTATATTTAAATAAGAAACTTTTTTCTTTTTGTTTGGTTTTGAAAATTAGCTTAATTGGAAAACATAAATTGTAAATTCATTTACGTTGGTGTATGCTCACAGCCGTAAGTATCAATTAGTGGGTAACTAGGCCTAGTTCGGAAAAGACAATTTATTATGGACCCATCAACTTATTATGGAATTCAACAAAAATTTGGATGGACAATATGAAAATATTAAGTATCAATTATTCATGCGAATCAGTTTTACTTAATTGAACAAGAGATATGAAAATGCTTTTGATGTGTGGTGATTAGTGACCGTTAGTCGATAATTATTCAGAATTATTCAGAAATCGTGAGATGCGGTCTGGTGTGATGTAGGTTTCAGAAAAACATTTTCTTTATCGTGCCAACGTTTCGATCTTTATTGAGATCATCTTCAGGGCTCAAAGTGTTTGTTTTCTGCGTAATTGTGTCATTCTTGTGTGTCGTGCAATGTCAACAATTGGAGTCCTGAACATGATCTCAATAAAGATCGAAAAGTTGGCAAGATAAAGAAAATGTTTTTCTGAAACCTACATCACACCAGACCGCATCTCACGATTTCTGAATAATGTTTTTGATGTTGATAAGAAGAATTTGCGATCAAACAAACAAATAATTTTGATTTTCAAGAGCTAATAGAAACTAGAATGGCGTTCTACTTGATTAGTAAAGCCAAAGGAATTTTTCAGCTCAGTCTTATTGAGTCGTGCGAGTTGACCGAACGAATTTACTTTCGCCGGTCGGGAGCAGCCGGACTCTCTTAAAAGCTGAGAATAGAATCGTTTCGGATCATTAGATAATGTCACAATATGTAGGCTGTTGTTGTTATTAAATGGAAAAGGTTGCCAACCTGGGGCCCAGTCTCAACCGTTGCATAATTCTAATGAGATCGGGCAGAGCATATGGCCGCTCGCTCGGTAAACAGGAGGAAATGAGACTAGATAGTAAAATAAGAAAGGGTTACAATTCAATTTTACACACGTGATCTTGTCGGCTCCTTATTAGACGGGGTAATTCAAGAATGGCTTTTCTCTCATATTACAAGAAGTCGAAATTGCTCCCGGTGAACGACACTCCTCCTATTGAAACTGCGACATGGTGAAACGTCTTTGGAACACTGTTCGTTCAAATTTCAAAACGTTCCTGCGGTTTGGAATTGTAATGGACGAAAATAATTTACTGAGCATTGTGTGAAAATGTCGTTATACCCTTTACTCGTAGCTATGGAAAACGTACATGCTCGTTGAAAACCATGTAGCTTCAATAATTGACATTGTAACAATGAACTAAACTTGGATATCGTGTCCTTTGAACAAAAAATTATCACTCCTTTCTTTTGGATACAGTTCTTATAGTTTTTGTGCGTGAGTCATTGGTATTTCATAACAATAGGACACGTCTTGAAAAAACCTCAACGATTTCAAACCCTACCACAGCATGTTTATTGATACAATTTACCGTCAATTTTATCAGCTTTTTTTCAATATAATGTCTTAACAGCTCAATATAAAAATAAGTACCTTGCAACAATTGAAAAAAAGAAAAACCATCAAAATCCATGCATTTTTACAATTACGAATAATTAACCGAACAGGGTTTTGTTCATCTCAACAGATGAATATAAAAATATAATATTTCAATT